GGGGGACCTGGGTCACGGACGGGGACAGTGCCCTGCTTGCCGTCAGCAGACAAGAACCAATGAAAAGCCCCCAATAAGGTCCCCTGAATGTGCAAGGAAACCATTAAACGTGCACTTAGCTTAAACATTCTGAAACACGTATTTCAAAACACACCTAGCCTTCCTGCTCTGGAAAACAAACAAAAGACACACAGGGAAGTATGGATAGATCTGTGCTTTACTTAAAACCAAAAAGAAAAACACAAGTAACTGAGAAGGAAAAACGGCTGTTCTGTTTTCTCACAAAGTGAAATATAGAAATCTAAGCCCACGGCCGAGTCTGAGCGCTCTCACATCTAAACCGCGCCCACTGCACACGCACTCCACAGCCCAGGCCGGAGGTGGTGCCCCTCAGCTCCAGGGCTCCTGTGTGGCCAGTGGCGGGCCAGCACTTCTCCGCTACTCCCAAGTCCCTCACGGCGGGGCCCACCCGATGGCCACAAGTGCAGGTGCTGCCAGGCTGGGAGCGGACACCTGCAGGACGGGCCCAGCTCAGCCTGACACCCTGCGCCCCGTCGGGGAGGCTCCCCTCACGAGCGCCCGCCCGCTGGCACACTCCTATGACAGGATTTGTGCCAGGCAGACAGACCTGGCGACGGGAACCAGGGCCAGCCTCCCGCCACGCTGGGGTCAGCCGTAAAAAGCACCGGTGACCAGGGTTCAGGGACCATGGAAACCACGGGGCCTCCGGTCCCCAAGGCCCGAGGCTCGCTGGTCTCTGCACCACCCGCCCGACTCTTCGGTGCCCGGGAGATGCCCCCAGGCTGTCCCCACACGCCTGAAGGCCAGCCCTGGCATCCCAGCGAGACCCTGCAGAGCCCGCTGCGCTGCCTGTGAGGTCAGCTGGCCCGTGAGGCCGCAGGGCGCAGGCAGGGGAGGCGGGGCACTCACGCGGTTGTGAAACTTGGCGGGCCGGTACGTCCTGGAGGATAGGTTGTAGACCGCATAGTGTCCCGGGTGCTTGGAGTCCAGAAACAAGCGCACGTCCTCGATGTTGTTTTTGATGGCCGATTCCACACCCTCTGCCGGGAAGGACATCACTGGAAGGAAACAGCCAGTCGG